AACCAATCTAAAATTACAACACTTGGGGAAACCTAGGCAATGATGAGAGAGAACAAGGAGCGCTGCTGCACTGACCCACCCCTGCGTTTTCTCCTCTGTAAGAGGTATGGACCGCGAAGCATTTATACACCGTCTTTGCTCAAGCCTGTGGAGGACCATTACCCTTCATTTCTGCACAACTCAACGGTCACCGGGCACTACAAGAAGCTGTAGTAAAACCTCCTCAACCCCAGAACTGCTTTTTAGCTTAGCTTGGTAAATATAAGGAAGGAAGAGTCACTGCTGCTGAGGTGAGAAGAAATGTAATGTGGGAACTCAGTCTGCTTCTTGGTATCCAAAGAGATTAAGGAGAGCTTTATAACGAAATAAATCCCCTTCTCTGTCCAGGATGGGTGCATTCTGCCGTGTCTCTACGGAAAGATTTCACAGCACTAAACATCCATAAGCTTTCATTTTTTTCTTTGTTTTTCAGTGGAAATATGTCAGAGCCCAAACACGATGCCACTTGATCTCCTGTCTTTGGAGTGTTTGAATTTCACCCAGGCCATTTTGGAGACTTGATATCGGGCTCTGCAATCAAAACTTTGTTTTGAGACTTACTGTATTTTCTAAAGGAGACCTTAAAGTACGACAATTGATCCACGTGCAGTACTGGCGTATTATTCTGTGCTGTAAATTCCTCCCTACAAACACTCAGCCTATTTTTTTGAGCAGATGTGGACACTGGATGTGCTGGCACGCAAAAACTTGTTTGTACCACATCATGTAAAGACAGCCTAAGGCTATGCCATCCACAAAGGAGAGAAGAGCAACAAGTAGCATCACCACTACAAGTATATGAAATCCTGTTTAACCTTTCAGGCCCCTTTCAGGACTGCCAAAGACACTGCGCAGCTACTCCCGAGACTGATGGCTGCACCCGGTGGTTGTCCAGCACGGTCACTTGATAACATGTGCTAAGATACAACACAGATACCTTCATCTGTCCTAAACCCAGCTCATTATTCAGCCTTAAACATAGTTCTGGAGTTCTCATCCGCCTCTCTAATGACTTATGGGCTTTTATAACTTTCTCCCCGAGTGCAGCAGCTTCCTGCAGGAACCCATTCACCATTGCTTACTAGCTCCAAATTTTACTCCTCCTAGGTTGTGCTTCTTCTCTTCCCCAAAAAGCATCGCTTTATCATCCAGTTTCTCCTTGAAAGCTCCTGTGCTCCCAAAACTCTGTGGCTTTCCTCTCTCTCCCTTTCTTCTATCCAAGTCTCGAGCTACTAAGAGGATAACTGCAGGTGTTGTGCATGGAGACAACAATTCCTGTACGTGCAGGCAATTCAAGTGCAGGTTTTGTTTGCCACCCCCCCAGCTCTGCGTGTAAAAGAGGCCAAGGGAATCAGCAGGTTACTGTTTTCCTCTGCACTTGCAAATGTGAATTTTTCCTGCTATGAGATTTTGTGAGTGCCAAACGCGTTGCCAAAGATTTTCATATGATCTGGCTGGAGAGCAAGAAGCGTCAGACGTCTCACTGCAAACTAGGTTTCCAGCCCAGTTTTGTCCTCAGAAGTGATCCAAATGACTTTTAGAGGAATCTGATGTTGCAGTGATCTTCTGCTGCACCCCCTGTTAGTGCCTACATGAGACCTGCAGTCTCAAATATCCTGAAATTAATCCTGTTTGGTTTATACCTGTCTGGTCTGCCCTGTCATCCCTTACTTGAACTGCTTTTCATCCTCTGCTATGCAACATGTTGTTCCCTTTTCCTCCTGTACTTGCATAAGAGAAATACAGATATAAAGGAAAGCAATTATTTTGCAAGTAAAACTAGAACCACCCAGGCTAAATCAGGCAGTTTTCTGGCATCGTCTTAAAAAAGCAGGGCTCAAAGTACAACAGAGAAAAAACCCAGCCTCCTCATTATGAAAGAGTGATCAGCTGAATAAGAAATACAAGAAAAAAGATGGAGAGAAGAGCAAAGTGAAAAGTGTTCAGGTTAAATGGTCCTCGACAGGACCCTGAAGGAGCATAAACCTGCCGCAACGGTCCTGCAAGCAAAAGAGGGGTCACAGGCACCTTCTCCAGAGGCCCCAAGGGCTTTGCAGGCATCTGGTTCAAATAACCAAGAAAGACGGAGAGTGAAGGGGGCGGGGGGGAATATACAAGAATAGAAATGAAGAGGCAAGCAAGCGACCTCAGCCAACAGAGGAGAGGAGAACATGACAGCCCAAATGGCAGTTGGTTTCTCAGCACAGGACAACCAGCGAGTGGGCTGCCTCGTGGCAGCACACCCAGCACCGCTGCGTGGAGAAGGCAGCTCTGTTTTGTAAACCCGAGTGGCGAATTTTCCCTTGCAGAGCTGCGGACAAACTGTGCCAGAACTCCGCTTGCATATGTTTTGAAATGCCTGGTACTTATTTTTAAATATTAATTATCATTCATGGCAGCAAAACCATGCCGTTTCCCCCTGTGGGAGCACATCATTTGGTCCCAGGGCAGGTGTCTGGTCCCGGCCCGTGCTGAACAAGTGCCTCACAGATGGAATAACCAAGCCGGCCTCTTGCAGAGCCGATGGAAGGACTGATTTTGTTGGAGTACAGTCAAGCCGTGGGGTTGTGACATTAGACAGAACGGGCAAGAACCTTGCCTGGTAAGGCCATCATGATCCTGAGCACCAAGGTTTGTTCCAGGATGGTGTTCAGACATTTGTGTACAACAGTCTGAGATTCACTGATTCCTCTCCTTTGTTTTTCCCAGTTTCTAAAATCATCCTCCCCGCCTTTGAAAAGTGTAGGGAGAGATGGAAAGTTCAGCCAAGTGAAATGATCCATGGTTTTGGGCCTTAGAGTAAATGGGCTTGTTTATTTAGTTGTTCAGCGTGGTTTTTTTTAGAAAACAGGATAGCACAAAACAAGACTGTTATTAAACCTACCGTGAACGGTATGTTTACAACGTCACACAAAAAAAGGATATTAAATCTTTTCCCCTGAATCACAAAACGAAACAGCACTGGTCAATGCACTGAAAAGTTAAACTGGCCCAGAATATTTCAGTCTCCAAATTAGCAAAAATAATCAGACAGACAGATTTTTCTAATCCAGCCTTTCCAGCCAGCCACACAGATGAGATGTGCTAGCGACACAGGTGAGAATATTTTCTGCAATAAGATTATCATCTTGACCACACCAGATGCAAATCCATTTTCCAAACTCATTATCTCCCTGGCTGTGGGGCTCAGACTCATGGTGTCCTATTCAACAAAACACTAAACACTACTTGTTATTCTGGGCCAGAATAACAGCCTAAGCTTTTACACGCAGGCAGCTCAGGCTCCAGTTCCAGTCGCCGATCTCTTGCCCTTAGCACTGGCCAGACCGAGGACAGACAGAAGAGCTGCATCATGTGTCCCACAGGGGAAAAAAACATTGTGTACTGCAAGGCAGAAGCAAGCAAAAGTCTGGGTTCCCTTATCGGTGGTCATTGTACATCACTAGGAAACACCAGGTCATACATTTTAACCCAATTTTCCTAATCCATATGGCCGTTTACCAGATGAAGCAATAAAATCAAACAGGGATGTTGATGATGCAGGCTTGCACAAAAGAGGGAGGGTTCAGAGGGAGGGTAAGACAGGTAGAGAACCAAAGCAAACATGGCATCTCCTTGGGATGAGGCCTGGTCGCATGGTCTTCAGTGTGCGTTTCAGAGAGAACAGTCTTCCTTCTCCGCCACGGAGCTTGTCAAATTGCCTGGGAGGCTCAGAGGAAGGAGTCATCTTTCCCACAGTTTTACAAGGCAAAAGAAATCTTCATTTTTTGAACCATATCCCCATAGCTTCTAAAGGAATTAAATCTCTGATCCCGCCTATCGAACCCTGTGCAGAAGGGAGGGGAGAAGGAAGCGCACAAGGTCAAAGCCAATGTCTTGACTCCCCGAGGAAGGCTCGAGAGGGCCCAAATAATGTGGCAGGAGCTGATGATAGCAAAAAGGGCATCCTCTCGTCCCTTTGCTTTCTGAACACATACTGAGCAAAAAAACATTAAGTGCTCAAATCCTTATTTGCGTAAGGCCGGATTGCCAGCGGAGGTGGCTGGGTACAGCAAAACCTGCTTCAGCAGAAAAACAGAGGCAAGCAAAATGGTTCCTTGGCCCCTTAAAAAAAATAACCAGAGCTGGTCACGGACTAATTAGTGAAGTAATTTTATACCCCAAACTGCTGAAGAGTTAAAAGACAGCAATTCTTTTGGAAAGGGGAGGGCCGACACCTCCCTGTGCGACACGCAGACCAGAAAGCTCT